TCACGGAAACAGTTCTCATTGTCCGGAGAAGTTGCTTGTGTTCCACCTAAAGCTGCCTTTTATTGCTGAATCTTGTGCCTGGGGACGGAGAGCGGACGTGAAGGACATGGAGCAGGTATAATCCTGAGGTCTCTGTCACTTTCAGGGATGTGCACCTGTGTCTCCCTCTGTGGGTGAAAATGAGGATGAATTCCTCAAGGGGGTATTAACACAGTTTTACCATCTCAAACTCCAGGCCCATTTGTTGTGTTATTTGACATCACAGGGATAAACGCATTGACATTTGCCTTCGTAAAGTCAAAGCACACAAGGCTATGGGCCAAATGCTGGAAACTGGGACTAGAATGGATGGAGGTTTGATGAGCTGCACTGAAATGATGGGCCAAATGGTCTTCTTCCATGCTGTTAAAAACTCAGAGACGGAGAAACCGATCTGCAGCGAATATGATCAGAAATGAAAACGCAAAAGCAGCGTCATTAAGAAAAGACACGAGCCTCTCTGCTGTGTTTCTTGGTGGTCTAGGGGTTAGTATTTAGCGCTTTCACGACCACGGCCCAGGTTTGATTCCCATTCAGAGAATAGAAGTTTTGAATTTATCGTGGTGACAGCACTTCTGACTGATCAGGAGCTCGCAGCCAATCTGATTTGTCCCAAACGTCGTGCAGGTTAACTTAAAACAAAGAACTCAGGCAATCTGACACAAAACAGAAATTGGTAGAGAAACTCAGCAGGCCTGGCAGCATCGTTGAAGAGAAACAGAGCTGGCGTTTCAGATCCACTGACCGTTCGTCCCTACGATGTTAATTATGCATTTCTATATTATAATGTGGGGAGAAATTATTCGCTTTATCTGTCGAATCAACGTATTTATCAAAATTGCTCTCTCATTAGCTTACTCACGCCAACTTTACAACTTTAAAAGGACTTCATCAGCTGTAATACTGCTTCCGTTGCCATGAGGTGGTCAAAGGCTCTGCTTAAGTGGTTGCCTTTTACTTTTCCTTCCTGTCAGTTAGCAGCCATGTCGAATGGAGAATTGGTCCTTTCAGTGTCTACCACAACATGTGTCTCTATTTGTCTCTGTTTGACCCTGCGTATCCAGCTAACCCCCTTTCACATTCTCCGACACTCCATTGTCCACATCCCCCATGTCCCATTTCTGCTCTTTGGAAAGTCTGAATTTCGGAGACACTTTGAGAGTGGACTGTCTAGTACTGGGCTGACATTCCTTGGATAATGTGGCTGTCTGATTTAACTGAGGTAAGGAGTCATTTCTTGTCTCAAAAGATTGTGAATCTTCAGAATTCAAAATAGAATTCCTAACCCACCAGAAAAAAAAATGCCACAACAATTATAATATTATGGTGATGTCTTTACTGTTGGAGTAAAAATGAATGAGGGTGATCTTTTCAAAAAGCAGAAATGGGGAATGAGGGATGTGGACAAAGGAGTGTCGGAGAGTGTGAAAGCGGGTGAGGTGGATACACAGAGTCAGAGTGAGACAAATAGAGACACATATTGTGGCAGACAGTGAAAGGACCAATTCTCCATTCGAAATGGCTGCTAACTGATACAAAGGAAAAGAAAAATGTCTGTGCCACTACCACAACGTTCCCCGGTAAGGCTACAGTTTATCCAGCCTCACCTCGTTATTCCGACCAAACTGTGAATGAACGGATGAGAATACATCTCATGCTGCTCATGCACAACTTTTCATTTCCAATCACTTTAGCTCTTCG